CATTAATTATTAAGTCGCTATTAAAATTTCCGTCAAAACCAACAAGAATTAATTCGAATTAAAGCTAAGCCGGCGAAGAAGTTTCTATCGACATATCCTCGAGAAACTTGAATCGCCTAGATCATAAATTCCTCGTCTCCCAATGACGCGAAAACCTCGAAGCTTTTACGCCCTTCAGCGCTCGCCGCTAAAAAGCGACCTGTCATAAGTCTCGAAATATTACGCACATCTCTTCAAGTATCTTCAACCAGGAGGAGGAGGAGGAGGAAGAGAATCTACGCGACCGTTTTTCGAAAGCTAGTTTTCAGGCGTGAGCTTGGAAAGGCAGGCCAGAGTGCCGCGTCGTCGCGCGTTAACAGAGCTGGAAATGACACGAGGCCCTTTGACGATGTCTGCGCAGGCTGCTGCTGTGCAGAAACGTCTTGCCGCAGATATTGCACTTCTGCGTGCGACCGCACTCGTGCCTCACGTGGAAGATGAGATGCGACTGCTTGGAGTAGCAGGCGCCGCACTGCGTGCAGGAGAACGGCCTGATCTTCTGCAACTGGTGGCAGGTGGAGCGCGGGTTCCAATAGCATGAGCTCTTCTGATGGCTCCTCAAATGACCGGACTGCGTGAAGCCCTTGCCACAGTACTTGCAGCTGTACTTTCGCTTGGCGCCTTCGCCGCGCGTCGGATTGTTCGCGCCTAGCTCCAACTCTGCAACACGATTTATCGACCCGTCAATCGACGGCGTTTCACTCTGTGCACGAGCGGGTGCGATAATCACGCCGGTAAGCGCGCCCTCCTCGAGACGAAAATAACGTTTGTTTGCGTGGCTTGCGGATTATAAAAGGTGTGTGTTCGGTGGAAAAGAAACTCGAATTCGAATCAGCTGCGATCGAGAACGATTTCGTCGACCTCTCCTGAACTGAGAACAATGTCCATTATTTTCTGATGCCAATGTCTTTGATGAATCCCAAAGGTCAAAAAGAGATATGTCAAACAAGTTAAACAGCTTGAACGTTACATGCCAAGTCTTAGAGGAGCTCCACAGAATAAACTGAAAGAAAGAATTAGCTCTAAAGATCAAATAAAAATATCAAACAGTTAAGAGGCTCTAACGTTAACTATGCGATATACATATAATACCTGTTAACTCTTCAAGGATAAGATAAAAAAGAAGAGAAAAATGTGTTAAACGTGATAAACTCCCATCTTAGGAAGCTTGGTAACTGATGCCCTGAGACCCCACCGTCGCCATGTAATCATTCCGATCGCAAGTGATTAGACTCATTAACATAAAGCTGCAAAATAACGTATGTTTGCTCATGCGTACAAATGAACTGGAAGTAGGGCGATTTGGTAATATGAGCTGGTAAGATGTGACTTTTGCAGTTGCGCGCTTGCAGCACTCGTCTACAATGTACTCGCAGCGAGAAAGAAAGGAAGCACGGTGCTACTTACTTTCGTAAACTTAAGGCGAAACTTATCGCATAATTTGGGTACAATTGCACATAAGCACGAACCGCGCCAGTGTTGCATTGCGAGATATGTGATGATGAACTTAATAATATTTTATACTAATCGAACGTATACAGTACGGATACATATGTCGCTTCGGGTATTTTCTGCTTCGAGGACAAAGCATCGCGTATTTAGGATACAAGGAACTATTTAACTTCTTCAGAAGTTAACTAAGAACTAGGAACTATTTAACTTCTTCAGAAACCTGCGATCTGGCAGGAACTTCGGTCTCGGAGATATTTGTAATCAAAATAATAAATAAACTATAATCATATGCTGACATTATAGTCTCTAATTACAATCAAACTAACATATCTCCATGATAAATATGAACATTTCTATAACAAGAATAAATATGAATAACAATAATAAACAATAATAAACATGAATCTATATCTTTGAATAATTTTGAACGATTTTTCTTTTCATATCGGCGATCAACCTATCCAATGATTAAAATATTTGTAACAATATTCATACTCGTAAATTTCGTAACAGCTTATACGATATTAAAGTACGCGGAATTTTTAAAATCTTCGGACATTTACTACATGCGTATATTTTTCTCGAAATTATATCGCTCCTGTTACCAGAAATATCCAAATTATTAATTTCTCTTTTGATTGTTGTTTCCTCCGAGTTCTGGAGCGATCTTTCAAGTTCAGATCTGGAACTTCTTACAGCAAAAGTTTGCGTATTATCTGAAATCAGGACACGTCAAAGAGCCATTATAAATATTTGCAATATTTAATCTATAATATTTGAAACCGCATGCCAGAGCCTATACAAATAGATATAACAATTAATACATTATTTAACAGACAATTACGTGATAATCTTTACATGACAGACATGTACCGGTTTTATTTAATACCATTATCTGTCACTATCCTAAAACAACCATTACAAGTAGAATTTCCTTAACACGAAAATGTTATGATATAAAAAATCATGTTCTAAAAAATTATCAATTAAAGAAGCATTATTAAATTTTATAATTATATTTTTATAATTATTTATAGTATATTACATTTTATAATTATCATAACACAAATTATTAAAAAAGTTTATTTAATAAAAAAAAGTAAATTTCCCAAAACGGATAATATTTCAAATAACATTTTTATGAGTTAAAAATAATATAAGTATATATGAGTTAATATAACTCATATTTATGAGTTAATATAACAAAGATAATACAGCAAGTTTCATAAATTTCAGAACAATTTATCATATGCAAACTAGACGCATGATAGATGCAATTTAAACATCAAATTTATAAGAATTGTACACTCCGACTAAAAATTGGTCTCATGATTCCGGTCAGGTCGATCAGCTGTTCAATCAGCTGTTTGGCTTGTATAAAATAAAGTTGTCAGTTCCTGATAAATCGTATAGCGCAGCGTGGCAACCAAAACTTTATTAATAACCAAGATTATTAAAAATTAAAACCTTATTAATAATCAAGATTATTAAGAATTAGAACCTTATTAATAATCAAGATCCATGCAATAACATCTTTTTGTCCAAACCAGATAAATGGTTGGAATCAACATGATCAAATGTGAGACAGATTTTCAGTCGGGATATCACGTTCTTCGCATTGATTGTCGATTTTTCTTCTAACTTTCCTTCAGTTAGCATCTGTCTTGAAGTAATACAATACGCGAGATCGTTCAATCTTTTTCGATGCTGTAGAAAATATCATATATACGATGAAAGATGCAAAACAGACAGTCTGAACAAATTGTCTCGATACTTTGCCGTCACTTTATAACGTGTATTGTCAAAGGATGAAAAAGGATGTATTGTCATATATTAATTAAATTCTAGAAAATATTTACATTTAAGATTTGTCATATATCTATGATACGCCTCGACTATTAATGATTGTACATTTTGACTGCAGATTTGATGACTTTGCGAATAGTAGACCATTGCTCTTCTTGGGAAACAGTATCATAATTATCTGAAATTAAAAGACAACAGAATTAATTGAGTATCCGTGCAGTAAGGATGCAATGTAACCAACGTCGAGAGAATGAGATCCAAAAATAATGTTGATCCGAGGCTGAAGGTCTCAAACATATACAACATAACGACACATCAGAGACTATTTACTGGAACGGATGTCGTGGGTGTAAGAATCCAGAGACACGCGCTTCGAGTATATAATCTTTATTTTCGTGAAAAGTCAGCGTAAACGCACTCATAAAAAATATACGCAATACGGACAATCGAACGCATTCGATGTCACCTGAAAAGTTATAAGTAGCATAAATAACTAAAGTGACGCTAATAAATGTTATGTTAATACAGATAGCAAAAGTCTTACATGATTACGAGGACAGTCTTGGCTTTCTACTTGTTAAACCTCACGCGCTCACGTGAATTTTAGAGAAATTACAACAGCGTCTTGATTAATCAATAATTCGGACCCCCGTTAGGAAAAAATAAATAAAGAAAAATCTCCGTCACACATTCACTCGTCATCTACTTCCATACACCAGGCTTTAATAAAGTCTTATTATTAATACAAAAATCACTCGTTTCATCGAAGCCTGGTGTGATTTTTAAAGTACGCTGTAACACAAGCAACTATGTCGAGCTATAAAAAATTGCTTCCTCGACAAGTTTACTCATTGTCTTAAATATTCGCTTACATCAGAAGTGTGTCTCGCTCTCTTTAACTCTTCTCCGCTTCTTATCTACTTCCGATTAAAGATTAAGGTACGTATTAATAGTCGTTCCTTGAAACTTGTCGCACGTGAGACACGTATTAATAATTGTTACTTGCAACTGCTTGTTTCAGATGCTCAGATTTTTATTCAGAGTCAGGTCCGTATTTTTCAGTTGAATTACGATAAATGTGACATTTACATCTGTAATCGCGATTCAATGGAAAATCTCATCTAACTCTGAATTGAGATCTGAGTGTCTCACGTGCGACAAATTTCAAGGAACGACTATCGATACGTGCATAAGACATCCTGTACTTCTTCCGTTGAACTCGACGTTTCTCCCGGTAATAATACCAGTCGTCTTATAACTCACTCAAAGCTAGGAGATCAATCGATCAATGAACGAAAAACAAAGAAAAGAAAACAAAATGTCAACTCTATTGCTTGTCCTGTTCGACTATAATGAAGAGATCCTCGCCCTTGTGTCTGCGTCTAATATGCGTGTAGATGTTGGGCGGATGTTTGCTCTTCAGACCACAATACGGACACTGAAACTTGGGCTCGCGGCCACACGCAGTACGCAAATGTGTGTTCAGAGTGCGCTTGTTCTTGTAACCCTGCGAGCATCTCGGACAAACGTAGTTCTTGGACTCCATTCTATTGCGGCGCATCTCGATTGGGAAGGATGGGTCCATGAAGCAACCTCTGGTCAGGTGACGCTTCAGATGACTCAACGACGAGTAAGGACAGTTGCAGAAGCGGCAGCGATACTCGCCGATATTGCGACAGCTGTCGAGCGGCGACGCTGCAACAGATAAGGACGGCAGGATTGAACGAGAGGGTGCAACCACGATCAACCACGATGTGTCGATAGCGATGGAGCTCTAACTACTGACTCGTGTAAAGAAGATAGACATAGAAGATGAGACAACAGCTCTGGACCCGCATGCTCGAAACACACCTGAAATTCGGCCTTTTGATGCTGATTAGTACAATCAGGTCCGCCCGTCGAACTTCGCGCCATGCAGTATTCTAGGAATTATTTTGCAGTGTCGCGATATTGGTCCAAGCGAAAGGGAGAAGCCTCGAACCGTCGTCGAGGAATAGATACTTTCGATACATATCTGAAATTGGTGTTACCTTCCGGATTTATCCCGAGTAGTTGATTGTGCGTACATGCGTCGTTACATTAAACTGCTGGCTTACGTCGACTGATATACCGTTTTGTCTTTAAAGAGATATATTTTTTTTCTCACTTTCACTCTCACTGTGCCGATTCAGGATGCTGCGGAATGTTAATAAATGAAGAAAATATGTAGTGTCTTATCACTAGAGAAATAAAAATCTTTATTATCATATATGATGAATTCTTCGACGACTTTGCGGTATTTATTGACGTTTGTTATACTGCGTTCGTCTCGAATATTTGGCAGTAAAATACTTATAACGATCACATGAGAAGGACCAACGATTATTAGTACCCGGAACATTCTTAAAATCACGGGAACTAGAGAAAATTGTGTTTACAAAAGAACTCCATCTACAAGTAAGAAATCGTGACTATACGATAGCCTTTTTTTTGACTTTGTTCCAACCAACTTCCATAATTCCGAAGATATTCAAGGTGCTAATAGTTAATTGGTTCGTCCTGTATAGTAAATCCAGAAATAAATGATCAAACTAAAGTAGTGCAATTCAAAAATAGTCAAGTAATAAGTACAAAGGGAAAATTTGTAGAATAAGTAAAAAGAAATAAATATTGGCACACTATGCTCTTACATTCTGACGTATCAACGTCGGGCTCATCGTAATTCCCATCATACTTCGCACTTCTGTTTATAATCTGTTAGTGAAGCATTTTCGCAACTATATCTCGACATTATCAGCACACTTCGACCATTAAATTTTCAGCTCATTTATCTAAGAAAGAAGCAAAAAAGATACAAATACATCATAATATCAAAATATTTGTATCATTTTTTATTTCAACTTTCTCTATAATTACTTGAAGTACGACAGCTTTGACTAAATCAGCATTAAGATTGCAGCATTTTACAAAATATTAAAGTTTAACTTATGAAAGTTAATTGTTTAATTTGTGAAAGTCAATTGTTAGTCTAGAATACACAAATACTGACAACTTGGTCGGCTCGTTACCAATGACAGTAAAGTGCCTCATGTATTTCTTCTTCTATCGTTTCTCGCCGTGCATGTCACAAAAACCAACGTTTTCAGTATTCAGGAACAAATCATCGGTCACTATGATGATAAAATCAGTAGTTAATTATTGCTCAACTTTTGCTTTCTAAATAAAAGTTCGAGAAATGCCTACTTAAAAGAAACAACACGATTCAAGTATACAAAAATTATACACACGATTACAACTGAGGATTCGAGAAAAACGTAAATACTTTCGTTTTATCTATCAGATAAAAGTATAATAAAGAAATAATATCTATACTGTCGCTTCGGTTCTGGTCGTAATCGACTACTGTATAAACTCAACAATAGCTCGCAACTTGGAGCACTCCTAACTTCATTGGAAAAAATATATCTAAACCGTTCTGCAACTGACAGTGTATACTCGTTTGCATAACGTTATTTATACATTTCTTCCGACAATTAAAAGCACAATCAAATGATCACAATTGCAAACCTTTATTTACAACCTTCCACTGTAATCGGTGATGACAGGAGTTCAAGTGACAGTATACAAGATATCTCACGTCACAACAGAATCTTCTGCGACAGAAGATTTTGGAAAAACGTAATATCATTATCATACTCTTATCTATTAGATAAAGATAGATAAAGAGCCAATATTTATTCACTTCGACTCTGGTCATAACTGATTACTATGGAAACCGGTCAGCAGTGGTTCGCAATTATAGCCATTTTATGCGATGCTAACTTCAATTAAGAAAATGTGTGAAAACAGAAATTTTGGGTCCAGTTTGACGACCTTTTTCTACCTGCACACAACAAGTGTGTCATGAATTGTCAGACATCCTGTATTCTATTTTATCTTACAAACAAGTAATTACACGTCCGCCCTTAATTCGCGCTTAAGTCCCCGCCTCGAGATCGATTGCGTAGATCTTGAGACCGATGTGCTTGTGTTTGATATGCGAGTACATGTTGGAGCGCTGCTTCGTCCGATAGCGGCAGTAAGGGCACTGGAACCTGGGACTCTTGCCGCACTCGTATTTGTAATGTCGCCAGAGAGCGTTCCGTTGCTTGTAGATCTTGCCACAGTCCTTACAGACGTGACCTTGCGAGAGTTGCTGCGGCAGCTGATGCTGCTGCTGCTGCTGCTGTCGCTGCGGCTGGTGCCGGTCGAACGACTGTTGGAAGGCCAGAGTCTCCTGGAGCATCGAGTATTCGTTCCAGTATGCTGCAAGCAGGCCCGAAAGGAAACAAACGTGTGAATGTTGCGATCTGCGGACGACGCGAGTCTCGCGATTCGCTTTCGCGAGCACCCCAAAAGCATGCAAGATCTCTTTCGCTTTCTCTCTCTCTCTCTCTCTCTCTCTTTCTCTGCTCCTCACGCAATCTTCCAGAGGTTGGGTACACTACACTACTACTATTTCATTACCAAAAACGTGGGGACAATCTCGGGACATAGGCATTCTATTGTCAAATCAGGGGAGAATATAATGTCCGAGTCAATAACTTGAGGTTTAATGTGAGTTCTTCGTGTGTCGTAATCACCATCGCCATAGTCTTCAGTGACGAATAACTCTGCGTGCGCCTCTTTTTCAGAATGTTTAATTGTCATAATAGAACCTTGAGGAATAAGATGTGTACTATTATTATCATTATTATTATAGATTGTATTGTATATGCTTGATGGTGTTCGTCCTCTTGCTTGTAAAATATTTCCTTCTTCGGTGGACGAGTCCCTGATAAAAAAAGATTAGAGAACATATTTGCATGGTGAGATGAAAGAGCTACAACTAGGATAGGATTGAGCAGATTTTAGTTTGAATCGTGCGCACACGAGCAAATAGAAAAGTCCAAGATATCGTTTCTTGCAAAGAACAAATTACGCAAGCTGTGGCAATAAGTACTTGCTTTACAAAAACACACACATGTTAACATTGACTTGTATCAGAAGCACTACATATGGCGGTACAAGAAAATTAATTTTGCGTAATGTGTAACATTTGTTATTTTATTAATTTTTTAATAACAACGTCGAAACACACGATATAATTATGAGAAACTAATATTTTATAAAAAATGCACATCCTCTACTCGTTCGTATCTTAAATAACCGTTTTTTCCACAAGTAAAAATGTTCGGGTGAATTTGAGTATTTAACAAATAACGATCGTTTTGTTTACGAGAACAAAGAACTTGACTACGTCGACTTTGTCAACTTTGTTGGCGAAATTTTGTTTTGAAATATCGCATCTTTCGCCCGCAAAAAGAAAATTTGCAAGCACAAGTTCTTTTCTCGGATAATACAAGAACATAGTGCAGGATATCATAGATTGCGAGAAAAAATATCTAAGAATCGAAACTTATTCAGTGGGTACTCATAACATATTTACTTGTACTAATATATGATATAATATATGAAATATATATAATAATATATATATATATATATATATATATATATATATATATATATATATATAT